TCCTTGTCAAAATGAAATGGATTGAGAAGAATGAGAATAATTCAACTGTTGGTCAATATTACTCACCATATATAGCCCAAATAGCCCTTCGCCTTTCAGGGGTCATTAACTGAGTTCCTGGAAGGCCAAAACAACCAATTTCAATCGGATTCAAACCATGATCCAAACCCGAATTAAACTACAAGTAAATTCCTCACTTGAAGGAAAGATAAGAGAAAGCTAACCCAAGTAAAACGTTTTGGCATTATTCTGCACAAACTTCTCCACAACGATCATAAGCTTCGCTCAACAAACCCAAATTCCCCGGCAGAGGAATATCTGGTTTCACATCAAGGTCCCCAACAGATCCTAGCTTCCTCTTAACAGGGAAGCCTGCTTAAGCACCACCTCATAGACCTTCTGCTCTGATGAAACAGCCATTTCTCCCGCTGGGTTTGCTAGCACGTTTGATAGCAAAGGTAAATTGCTAGCACTCTCTAGGCCAGTATGGCCAACGCATGAATACTTCAAATTTGTACTCAAAGAGCAAAGTCTCCGCCTCCTCTTCCTATCCTTCTTTGCTCTGATCGAACTTGAACAACGCGGGATAAACTTGGAAGAATCAAACAGCTTCCCGTCTCGAAATGAATCAAGGAATCCAGAGCAATTGGAGACCTCTAAGCTAGGGGAGACAACCCATAGTGATGTCACAGGCATGACTGTACACTATATTATAGCTACCCGATCGATAAATAAAACTCTTCCTTCGTTACCCTCTACTTTTAAACGAGTGAACAGCCAATCAAAAGAAGCAACAAGCCGTATTCAATAGAAATCTTGGGAACTACTGTAACCGCAACTGAAAAAGATGCACCACGAATGCTTATCTGTAGTTGAACCAAAAACCAGGATGAAAATTCAGTATAAAAAGAACTTCAGCTAGAATAAACAAGAACAACCATTCCATTAACTACAGCAACAACTCACATAATGGGATCCAAATCATGAAGAAATCGCAGTCATCAGTCAGAGCAAGAAAGGATAAAACAACTGCTTATCAGCATCATTATTTTATTTTTATTGTTACGGGTTTCTCGTGTTCATACTTCAGCACTAGAGCTGAATATTAAATTCAGAAGTTCGTTACACTCATCCAATGAAATCCAAAAAGCCACACGGAAATCCAACCACTCAGAAAAATATGAAATTTCATGAGAAGAACGGGAAAAAAACAAATGCACACCTGTTGGGTATTGCGCTTCTTAGAACCACTCACAGGAGCTTTCCATTAATTAAACAAAACTAAGTAGGGAGACATCAACATCATGGAGAGCAAACTAACAACGGCCACTAAGCATTCTAGGCTTCACAATCTGACCCACCAAATACTCTCCACTCTTGCCAAACCTTCTTCCCCCCCCCCAAAAAACCATTTTAGTGTTCCTTTCTTTTCTTGCTCCCCTTTTCTTCTTGTTCTTCTTCCTCCTCCTTTTTTCCCCCCTCTTATTTTCTATATTGAAAATGAAAATGTCCCTTTTCTGTCCCGAACTGTCTGTAATATTCTCTTTGTACTGTGGTGTCTTTTCTCTCCACTTCCTCTTCCCTGTGGGATTTGAGGCCTTCGTCTTCCCTCAGTCGTCTGGTTCTGGGTTTTACACGCCTATTAGAAGGCTAGCTAGAGTTTGGAGCTAGTGCGTGTACCATGACCCTCCACGTCCTCTGCCTTAGCCCCGACCCGACCCGCGTATTGTGAATGGATCGGTTAGCTTGAGCATGGAGCTCGACCCGAATCATTCTAAGGAATTTGAATATCTGTCGTTTTTCTTGCTATTTTTCTTAAACAAATTGCCACGAGGATATTAATGGGCAAGTCAAATAATATATTTTTTGGGTAAACGAGAACAAGTAATAATTTAGCAGCATATAAGGAAACGTGATAAATAATCTCCATAAATCAATTAGAAGCCGATTTGTGCAAATAATAGCAAAAAAGATCCATTCTTTTAATGAATTACTTTCATTTAAAACATTTTTAAAAATAGGTTAAAGTATACTTTTAGTCTTTTAACTTTACACAAAATTTTATTATGGTCCTTTAACTTTAAAAAGTAAACTTTTAGTCTTCTTAATCCTAAAACTGTTAACAAAAAATGATGATATTAAACTCTTGATAAAACATTATTAAATGCTGACATATTACGTTTAATATTCAAAACACTATAATTGTTATAAAAAAAATTATTATTTAAGACTAATAATTTTAGAACTAAAAGACTAAAAGTATACTTTTAAAAATTAGGGGATCAAAATGAAATCCTGTGTGAAGCTAAAAGACTAAAAATATACTTTAACTTTAAAAATAACTCAATGCATGGCGTTAAAAAAATCATAACATTTATAACAATTTTGAAAATTTATGCACTATATTATTCTAAAATTTTCTTTATGGGCGGATGGTTTCTGGAAAATAGTTTCCGGTTGAGGACGCACGATAAATCTTTTTCATTTATAATAGAAAGGATTGAAGTTTAAATTTTTTTTTTAAAAAAAGAAAATTAGATCAAGTTGCTTAGTTGCGTACGTTGATCTTACTCCGACACGAGAAAACAAATCGACCCGATCCGAAATTGGCGGCAGGTTGTAAGAAAAGGGAAATCCAACAAGGACAACCACGTGGCCGAAATCATCCAATCAACGAAAGATAACGTTATCAAAAAACCTCAATCCCCAAAAGAGAAGAAAAAGAGCAAGCGGAGAAAGTAACTTTAATTTAAGCCGGTTCGTGGGTCCAGACACGTGGCACGCCATGCCATGTGGTCCATCAAGGTGATACTCCGATGCTCATGGGCCGCCGATTGGCTGGTCGTGGGACCCACCGGAGAAATGCTGGGGGGTTGGGGGCAGAGCGAAATGCAGGAACAGAGGATTTTGGCTGTGGTGGGCGGTGGGTCCCCACGGACCCTTTGTCGGTTTGTATGGTAACCCGGCAAGTGCGAAATGACCCACACGTTCCTCTTCGCCGGTTAGTTGGGCCGGATAACTTGCCACGTAGCCATGTGCACTTTGTGTGGACCTGGTTCCGTGAGATTATTTAATTTAATTACTTCCTCCTATCTTTAATATAAGATTTATTTTATAATATAATTTTATATTATAAAATAAATCTTACATTTAAGATCGAAGGAGTATCATATTTCATTTAAATACTATGGTTAGAGGCAAATTACACTTTTAGAATTTGTTTTCCATCAGGATCAAATTCGTCTAGAATTAGGCTGTTTAATCCGAACTTTTGATTAATAATATCAAAATATCATTAACTTTGTATAAAATCTAATAATAATACAAATATTTGGAAGGTTGGCCACGAGAAAATGAGAAAAATATTTGTAATAGTTATTTATAATTCTCCCATTTTTTTACGTTGGCCAAAAAATTATTTTTTTACTAAGTAACCCTACTCAGCACCTTTTTTTTTTTAATTTTAATGAATGAATAAAAGTCGTTACTCGAATTAAGTGGGAGAAACATTTCAAAAAAATATATATCATAAATTTTTATTTTTTTGATTTTTAATTGCAATAAATCAACCCAGGCTTCTTCTTCTTTTTTTTAAGTCCATGTGAATTAGGTAAAAAGTTCACGTATTTAAGATAAAAGGAAGTATTTGGCAAGATTTAAGGAACGCAGTTAATTTAGTTAGTGGTATTAAATTTGTGACCCATTTAATTAGGACTGGTTTGGAAATAACAAAAAAAAAAATATACTTTTCCAAATTTGCCTCTCATTTATAGCTAAAAGGGCTTTCATGCATTTAAAAATACTTATTGCTGAGAGTTTTGAGATTAAGAAAGTGTATGTAACATGAAATAAATTTTTCTTCCATCTTAAAGGATTAAGGCCCAATTTTGCCTTAAAAGTTTTATTGTAAAAACTGCGAGTACCCAAAAAATTTTTGCAGCTTCAATGTCATCTCCAAAGTGTAAAAGCAAGAGTTGGTACCGATTAAGTGAGGTTTCGAGTTCGAGTGTCAGCATATGCAAAAATTTCTATTGGGAGACTCACCTACCATAGCTAGGTGAACGACGTGGGTCGAATCCAGATGTATAGGAGTAAAGTTTCGGTAAATTGGGTGGACAAAAAAAAAAAAAGAAGTAAAAGTAATGGCACCCCATACTAAAAAATAGCCAAATGAATGTTTGTTTTGTCGAATCTCATGCCGTGTATGTTTTACATGGGCATGACTATGCTTTTTTCCCCCTATTATTTTCACCCTAAAATTTTTCATAAAAAGAAGAATATTGCCGTGAAAGTATTGAAAAAAAGGAGTAATGTGCCCAAATTGAAATAGCGAAATGAAAAAAGACCCCCAAAAAAAAAACATGAACATGAAAAGGCGCAGAGTAAAAGTACAGAGTGGAGATCATCAATGCCTCATCCTGCCCTTAATATTGCCTACCCTTTTCCTCTCAGCATGACTACAGATAAGATGAATTTGTCAATGTCAACATAAATCTCTAACTCTTACACAAAACAAGTTTGAAATTATAAATTTTTACATAAGAAATTTCAACAAAAATGTATTGTTATTTATAAATCTAGTATTGTCAACACCTGTTAAAGTGTTGTTACCCAACCTAATTTAATACTTCTCCGGTCTTTAATATAAGACCTAATTGTTGAATTGATTTTGATATTAAATATAAGACCTATTTATCACATTTATCAATTTTTTCTAAATTATCCTTACTGATATTCTATCAACCATAATCAACTAAGACATAAAGAGAAGATATTAAGAAAAATGATTATAGTATTTTTTGAGAAAAACATGTCATGTTTTTTATAATTAACTAACTTATCTAACTTTCTTGATCTAATCAAATTAGTTAAATAGGTTTTATTTAAGAACTGAAGGAATATTTAGTAATTTTAAGCTTCCTTTTTATGAGATTCTCCCTACAATTTAATATGGCTCCTAGAAAAAATTGGAAAAATTACACTCAGGTCCCACATAAGACAATTAATTCACAAAAAGTCCCTCAAAATTCCAAAATAACTCCCAAGTCCACAGGGACCTGTGTATAATAAATTGTAATTGTGAAATTACCTATTTGCCCTGTTCATTTACAACCCTCAACAGTGGCTGTTGATAACTCAAGGAGAAGTGGTTAACAACCTCGGCAGTGCCTCTGGTATCCCACAGAGTGAGTTGTCAAGGGCACTGCCGAGGTTGTTAACCACTTCTCCTCGGGTTGTTAACAGTCACTGTTGAGGTTGTAAATAAATTACTACAATAAAATTAATGGGGTAAATAGGTAATTTTCTAATTTTAATTTATTACACACAGGTCCCTAGAGACTTAGGAATCATTTTGAAATTTTTAGAGACTTTTTATGAATTAATTGTCTTGTGTGGGACCTGTGTGTAATTTGCCCAAAAAATTTTTGGAAAAAATGAATTAAAAGAAAGTACAGTCATGTCCCACCGAGCCAATTTCAGTGCTCATCGTAATGATGACTACTATAATGCTCATTAAATCTCAACCATTTAACTTTAATGTGAACGGCGAGATTTATAATTTAATATTTTTGCTTTTACAAATGTTTTCCTTTTAATAGGCATATAATAAAAAATAAATGTAATTTCTTAACTGTAATTTTAAAAAATAACTTTTTATTTAAAAATTATTAGTTAAAAATTTTAAATCTAAACTATCAAAACTTATTTTAAATGCTTTAGATCCCATCGCAACGGCTGCGATCAACATTAAAACTGGTTCTCATACCTCACGTGAAATCATATATGGCATAACGGTTGTTTCGCTATGGTTAGAGAACGAAAACGCTGCTCCATTTTTAACATTTTCGGAGAAATATTAACTCCAAAAAAATTTTATGATGTCCGTAGCTCCGATTTAAAAGCTTTCAAAACAAAACTGAATTTAATCCTTCTTAAAGTATAAACATAATAAAACAGACCATATTCAGGAGTATAAATGGTGTACGTAATTGGGGAAAAAAAATAAAAGCGTAAAGCAAAGTGAATGCAACGCGATTTCATATGAATATTTTTAATAATTTTGATAATGTTGAATATTTAATGTAGATTCACCTCAATATTCAATAATTACTTTTCGGAGAACACCTTTTTAAAAAAAAAAGAAAAAAGAATGGTCCAGATTCAGAGTTCCAGCCACGTGGGAGAGGTCAACCATTGTTAACTGCCATGGGTGGACCACCCAGAATACTACTACTAATTGTTTATTAGGATCATTAATTAGTGATTAAGACTTTTCTAATTATTAGTAATTAAATATTAGGCGGAAGTGGGGGCGTGTTTCTGAATCAGATCTCAATATCCCCATTTTTTTAATACCCCAAAAGTAGGTAAACTGTTGAGACATTGTTTTG